TCAGAAAAGTTTGATGTGCATCAACATGATGAGTTCATTATGATGCAAACCAAACATCTTTTTTTCACGACAGTTAAGCTGAGAAACATTCGTTGGGCAAAAAGTGATCATGAAGTGTGTTTTTTGCAGTTTCCCTTAATCCGATATTTACAGCTCTGTCCTCCTCCGCTATCCAATTCAATGCACGAAATGTATTTAAGTCTGCGGAAAAAACTGGAAAATTTTCCCAGAAAACACTCTTTGACGAATGGCTGAAAACCAAAAAACTATAACAAATTTATCAGTGCGACGAAAAAATAAAGTATTTCATGAGGCACCTGCTCAGGTGAATTTTCTTCAGCAACAGAAAGGCAGCTCCACCACGACTGCCGCGAACTCAGCGATGATTTACTGGTAACACTCAGGCGCCGGCTCTGATCACAGTTTATTGATCCTGCTGCTGCTGCTGCTGATGTACCAATCAATGACAGCTTCTTTGTCATGCCTAATTTCTCTTCTTCCTGAAAACACAAACTTTGAAAAAATTAATAATTTCTGATTTGACAGCTGCATCCACGGTACAAATCATTTGAATCTAACAAACTTAAGCTTTAAACCCGAAGCTATACCGCAGAAAGGCTGGCTATGAATTTTTGAGCGCAATTACTCCCGCAACCAGACTACTGTGCCTAGGCTAACACATCAATGCGCCACAATAAAGCTGTTTACTACCACACTGGTGTCTGGAAATGAATGGACAGTGAGTTGCTTGAGAGTATTTTCTTGCCCTACAAAATCCGCCACGGCAGACGAAAGGAAAGTCCACACCCAGACAAAAGTCCCAGAGAGAATTCGTTGGTAGTTTCAACCTTCATTCAGTGCTTCCAGCACATTTCAGCGGTTTTTGCTGGATTTATCAACGGCACAAAGATACCAACTTCAACAAGAACCCGTTCCAATCGTGTATCATTTTTGCATGCTGCCTCAATTAACATCAGTAATGTTTCTTCGAGTATAAGCGAGCCCAATTCGGGCCGATCCATGAAATACAACAACAGGCGACAAACGCGTACTTCCGTATATTGTGTTTGATGCTCCTGAAATTAGCAAAATACGCTCTCCTCACAAGAACATCGCTACTAAAATTTTCCTAAGAATTCATTACTGCACATTCACTAAACAGAAGTGCGTAAATCATAAAAAGAAAGAAAAACCCGTCGAAACTCATGCAGCTGTAAAGGCACAGAATGATCTGCCTACATACCTTGTTTCTATTCTTTCTGCTATACATTTACTAAAACAGCTTCTTTTGTCTTTCCTTTGAAAGCATCGTAAATTAATGCATAAATCAAACAGTGTAAAATCAACTGCATTGCATATAAATATCTGTTTTGAATAAATGTAAAGAGCATAATGAATAAATGTAAGGGCCAGTGAATGCAGATGTACAACGGAACTTACCCTGGTACCATCCCACGAAGCAAGACCACTGGTCACTTCAACAGTATCCAGTTTTAGATATTCCTCAATTGCTTTCTTCGCAATCGGTAAAGCAAATGTTCTGAAAATTCATTTCAAATAAAAACATGAAAAATTTAAAAAAAAAAGGCAGCATACAGTAAGACTCATGCCAAAACTGCTTGAAATTAGAGGTCAGACAGCAGAAGACAAGAAATACTGGCATCAGACTGAGAATTAATTACTCTGGAAAATGATGCAAACAACAGGAATGTACGGTGTGACAGATCCTCTAATTTCTAAGATCGGCTAGTTCTTGCGGAATTTCCAAAAAATCCACAAAAAGTCAGGAAGGCATGAAAATTTGAGTAAAAGCTGACGTGAAAAAAGTGGTATCGATTTGCTCTTCGACGCCGACAACTGATAGTCCAATTGCGGCCGAGTCGCCCACACGATTCAGCAACCATTGATAGAGGCGCCTGTTCACGCTCATATCCCTACGCAACACCAAGAAAAGGCACCGTCGAAGCAGCTGGAAAAAAAGAAACGTACCAATTCATTTTTCCACTTTAAGTATCTTTATCTTAAATAGTACGCCCAGTTGTTGTGCTGTCGATGCACATCTTATTCCGGTGATTTATTTCATAATTTTTTCACAGCTGTTGTAACTGAGGTTACTCCTAGGATTATCACCTTTAGATCACAAACGTAATGAAAACTGCACCCGAATCGGTACCACAGAAACCGAATGAACCCTTTTTGTATCAACTGAAGTCAAATCAGTCGGCTACCATTCTACGCGCAGCGTTTATTTCCTTGCTTTCCGTCCTCGCTTTTCGGCTGAGAACAGCGGTTTTACTTGTCAACCTTCACAAGCAGCAATTAAAACGAAATCGCACGATGTAAGCGCTCATGGGTGTGTTCGTGTGAAGAAGAAAAAATTAACTTTCTCATTACCTGAACAAAATCTTCTCGGACTAAATGATCGGAATTGAGCGGGAAAGCGGCACAGAGAAAATCCAAAAGATTGCGCTGAACAAGTGTCGAGCCGTCGTCGTCTGCTGCTGCACAAAGCGCAGCTATCTGAATAAAAAAATTCTCA